TGGCTGTGCAGTGACGTCAGCCAGTGCCTTCAGTACCCTCGGATGGAGCTCATCCGGGCCTGCTGACTTAAACGCATCCAGTCCTTCCAAGTGACTGCACCATCTCAGGGTCAATGCTTGGTGGTCTGGCACCCTGCTATTGTCTCTCTATGATCCCATTGTAAGACTTGTCTTGCCTCTTGTTTAGGAACACTCAGGCAAAGAACTCATTGAGGAGTTCAGCCTTGTGCCCCCTGGCTCAAAGTCTAGTTGGCAGCCAGTATCAAGTGGACTGCCCAGGGGATCAGTCCTGGGGCCGGTTTTGTTCAATGTCTTCATCAATGACCTGGGAGATGGCATAGAGTGCACCCTCAGCAAGTTTGCAGATGACACCAAGCTGGGGGGAGTAGTAGATATGCTGGAAGGTAGGGCTACGGTTCAGAGTAACCTCAACAAATTGGAGGATTGGACAAAAAAAAAATCTCATGAGCTTCCACAAGGATAAGTGAAAAGTCCTGAACTTCGGACAGAACAATCCCATGCACCAGTACAGGCTGGGGGCTGACTGGCTGGGCAGCAGCTCTGCAGAAAAGGACCTGGAGGTTACAGTGGGCAATATGCTGAAAATGAGTCACCAGTGTGCCCTTGTTGTCAAGAAGGCTAACGGCACACTGGGCTCCATTGGTAGGAGTGTTGCCAGCAAGTCAAGAGAAGTGATTCTTCCCCTCTATTCAGCACTGGTGAGGCCACATCTGGAGTACTGTGTCCAGTTTTGGGCCCCCACTATAGAAAGGATGTGGACAAATTGGAGAGAGTCCACTGGAGGGAACAAAAATGGTTAGGGGGCTCGGACACATAATTTATGAGGAGAGGTTGAGGGAACTGGGTTTATTTATTCCAGAGAAGAGAAGACCGGGGGTGGGGGTGGGATTTAATAGCAGCCTTCAACTACCTGAAGTGGGGTTCAAAAGAGGATGGAGCTGGACTGTTCTCAGTGGTGGCAGATGACTGAACAAGGAGCAGTGGTCTCAAGTTGCAGCAGGGGAAGTTTAGGTTGGATAGTAGGTAGAATTTTCTCACCAGAAGGGTAGTAAAACACTGGAACAGCTTTCCCAGAGTGGTTGTGCAATCTTTGTCCTTGGAGGTTTTTAGGACCCAGCTAGAAAAAGCTTTGGCTGGGGTGATCTAGTTGGGGATGGTCCTGCTTTGACCAGGGGGTTGGACTAGATGACCCCCTGAGTTCTCTTCCAACCTTAATTTTCTATAACTCTATGATTCATGTCTGTCTCCTCCTGATGTGTCCTCCAGGGTGGGAGGGAATGTTGCTTGCTGATGCTGTCTCAGCTCTGCTCTTAGACTGCTCCCCATGCAGGTCCCATCTCTCGACTACGGAGTTGTGCTGTGGTTTGATGCCTATGCGCTCAGGAGGCAGACGCATGACCTGCCGTGCACTCAGGGCCAGTGGATTATTCAGAACAGAAGGTGTGCAATCATATTCTCGCTCATTTCTCACCCTCCATTTTCCCATTCCTGAATAGCTTTGCTGCAAGTTGAATTGTCCCACTGCTGTCTATTGTTCAGCCCAGTCCCTAGTTTGTTCTGGAAATCTTCACAAGCCATCTGCTCACTCCCACTCCATCATCTTATCTCAGCCTTTACCTTTAACTGCTCGCTATTGTGCTGATGCAACTTCCTTGCCTATATCTTTTTTTCAATTCTCTAATGACTCCTCCTTGTCCACAGACTCTGTCTATCTTGGTTAAGGCAGTGTGAAACTGCCTCAGCTCAGTATCTCCAAGATCAGGGGAAACATCCTCAGCAGTCTCCAGCTTCGTTATCAACCTGCCTTCTTTATTTCATTGTTTGAATCAGACTTCCTAGTTTCCTCCTCTGTGTGTAACCTTGGCATCCTCCCACATCTCCAGTGTTTGCAAATCTGCCTATCACCACCTCTGCAATATTGTCTGTGTCTGCCATTGCCTTGAATCCACCTCCGCAGAGAGCTGCCACCCAGGCTCCATATCCTCCTGCTTTGACTGTAGTGACTTCCTTTTTTGAGGCCTCCCTAAGCCCACATGCCTTCATCTACTGGAAGTTGCTGCCTGCTTTCCCTCGTACACAGAAGCATGGGCACAGCATCCTCCTTCTCAAAGCCTTTCAGCTGGTTCTACACTTCTTGCAGAATCCTGTTCAAAATATCTTCTTTCTCTGGAGCCACCCCTGGCCTCTTTCTAGCCTACCTCATAGACTTCATCTCACCTGCTCATGAAGGCCTCAGCCACCTCATTGTCTCTGGGCTTGATCTAGAACTCCTTGAAATCAGTGGACATTAGGTCAGTGATGAACTCAGATGCACCACTACTGGCATAAGAGTTGTTTCACTATCCACTGAAACCTTCCTGGTTTTCCCCATCTCACCAACATACCCTCCATTTATCATTCTCCTTTGCCTGCCTTTTCACTCCTCTATCCCTATTTCATTTTTCTATTTAGCTCTTATTTCAAAATCAAAAGCCTTTAGAACATGGGTGAATAGCAAAATCTGTATAAATATGGGGGCTATACCCAGATAGGAGTTATTACTATGAGAACCTCCAAAGCCCATGGTGGCATGCTGGACTTTCACTGTAGTAACTAAGGGCAGAATCTGGGCCCATTCCTGTGTGACCCTTTTGAACCCATTTCTCCAGTTCTCTCCCTATGCCTCTCTTCTGTACCCAACTGCAAGGTGTTATCCCCAAACCTTTTCAGTGTTGCACATGCAGAACTATTGCATACCCGCCTTTCACTAACTTCAAATGGCCTTTGCCACAGCCTGCATTCCAGACTCCTACCATCTCTTCCTAGAATCTCTCCTTCACTTTCCTTTGACTCTGCCCATCTCTATGGCTGCTCCTATCACGTGTTTCCTTTTCTTTGCTCTTTTGGGGGTGGTTTCTACCCCAGTTACACCAGTGTTAATTCAGGGAGACACCACTTCTGTCACTGGAGAGGCTCTATCTGCTCAGCTGTTTAGTGGTGGGGCAGTGGAGAACCAAGCATGGTGCTGAATCCCCTACATGCTGACCAGGTTATCTTGTGTTCCCAAGGGTTTCCTTACTCTTTTCTCTATCTTTAACTTACATCCTCAAAACATATTGAGAATGTTTCCCCATCTCAGTTATTTGAATCCTTGAGGTTCTCTTCCCTTCAGAGCAATTGCCATTCCCAAAGTACTACAAAACCAACCAAACCAGTGCTGCTTTGCCCTCAAAGGCTACTTTCTTCCCCTTCAACCTCACCCTAAGATACCATGCTTGGTGTGTTTCCTTGTCAGGTTGTGTGGCCTGCGGACCCTGCAAGCTTATGCTGAAAGGATTCCAGTAGTGTCCTCTGCTGGCATCACCATCAGCTTCACCTCTCAGATCTCCTTGACTGGACCTGGCATGCAGGCTGCCTACAGCCTATACAACCAGTCAGATCGTAAGCATATGGCTTCTCACATCATCATGACACACTGTGAGGTGCAAAGCATCTTTCACAGCCATTCAAAATCTTTCTTATATCCCTGACTTGTGTCATGACACACAGGCACACACACACACACACACATATGCCTCTTGTGCATACAGGTGCACAAGCCACCCTGTGTCATGGACAAAAGTGCACATGCACACACCCACATACATGCACTATACACATGCATAATCTCATTTAGAGATCCCAGCACAAAGCATTCAATTACTCACACCACTTGCACAGATATCGAAGCACTGAACATACACACACCAGAGAGTTCATCTCCGTGTCTCTATTATGGAGCTGGCCTTGGCATTAGATGAAATGGCTTAGTTTATTTTCACATGAAATGGTTGTGTTTTGATCACAAAAGTTCTTAGTGACAACTGTCTCCTGCTCACCTTGGAAATCTGCAGATGTGAGATCCTGACTAGGATTCTGTAAAAGCCCCCAGGGAATCTATTCTATATTTCCCAGCCAGCCAGGCGCACAGTGGGACAGGTGCAGTGCTGGCGAGAGGGCGATTTCCTGGCTCCTGTCATATGACACACATGGAAGACAAAATAACCATGCCCCTGTTGCACAGCTCAGGTCTGTTTGCTCATTTGGGGACTGTACCCAGGGCATGCTGTGTGCCTATGCTGGCAGTGCAGTTGTGGTTAGAAAGCTCATAGATTCACACTCCACTCTCAAGTCACAGTATCTTGCTTTAGGAAGGTCCCTGGCACTGGGGACTTAACATTCCCTTGTGATTTTTCAGCCTGTCCCAGGGAGTTTCTCTGCTCTGTGAATGGCCTGTGTGTCCCAGCATGTGACGGGATCAAGGACTGTCCCAATGGACTGGATGAGAGGAACTGCGGTGAGTGATCCACTGTTCCCACCTCCCTGCTCCCATCTCTCCTCTCCTCAGGGATCTGCAGCTCAGTTTGACTCCCTTCTGCACAGAGCCTGGCACCCAGGTCTCTCAGGGAAAAGTCTGGGGGAAAATGGAAACCTTTGGGAGACCTGGCTACACCAGTCAAGTGTGTGAAAGTAACACAGGCATTTGCCTGGTGACAGCCTGCAGCTCAGTCAGGAGTTAAATCCATGATATCATGCACAGAAACTTCTTCCCCCACAGCCAGAAGGCAGTCGCTGTGAATAGACACACAACATGACTGCTATGGAGGGATTTACTCCAGACTTTACTCCACAGTCAATTGACTCCCTAGCAAGGAGCAAAGGCATGACCTCCCACATGGCTCAGCCCATCGCCTGCACTACAACCCAAGCCAATCAGCCCACCAGCTAGAGCCTTGGCTGCCCGTGATGTATGTGGCACAGTGAAGCTTTTTGTATTTGCAGAACATTGACAAATCTTTTCTCATTAAGTCACAGGGCTGCCCCATGGGGTGGGTATTATCAGTGTTCAAATTATTACAGATGAAGGAAGCAAACAGACAGTGAGCTCAGGTTATTAAACCAAGGCCACCCAGGCAGCCATGGGCAGAACTTGCTCTACAACCCAGGAGTTCTTGGCTCCTAATCCCATAGTCAGTTTATTGGACCATCCTGCCTGTAGGCAGCACTGCCAGTGAGTATTAGTCCTGGCACACAACACTTCCTCCCTGCTGTTCCAAGGTCTCGTATGAGGCTCAGAACTCTATACTCATAGGAGCACAAACACTGGATCTGATCCAAGGCCCATCCAATCCAATCTCCTGGGTCTGACAATGCCAGCACCAAATGCTTTGAGGAGGGACACCGTATCATGGAATATTATGGAATAGCATGTCCGTGGCAGACATTTCTTTCTAAAGCCATTGGTTAGTGCTTGGTTTATACCTTTAAGTATGAGAGAATATGTCCTTAATAGAGTTCTTTAAGGCCTAATGTTGCTGTAGATAGTCTCATTATCCACATAAATGTCTGATTCTTTCTTGAATCCTGTTAAGCTCTTGGCCTTAGGGATATCTTGTGGCAGTAAGTTCCATGGGTTAATTATGAATTGGAATTTTTTAAAAGGATTTTTCAGTATTAAATGCATTCACTTTCAGTTTCCACAAATGAGCCTTTGTTCTTGTATTTTTAAAAAGAGTAAATAGGAACTGCTTGATTTCCCTTCTCCGGGGAGTTTGTTATCATGTTTGCCTATTGTGTGCCCTCTTAATAGTCTTATGTCAAAATTAAACCATCTCCGTCTTTTATATCTCTATTCACATTGCCTCAAGTTATTCAATGCCTCTAATCATCTGACCTCTTTATATTTAATTATCACATAACTAATAATGTTATTGAGACAAGGTTTAGAGATCTCAGCCCCATTGTGTTTGGCACTGTACACATAGATGCATGCACACACACACTATAAGAAAACAATTCCTGCCAGAAAGAGCTTGAAGTCTTAAGTATCAGATAAAAGACAACAGGTAGCTAAGAAAACAGGCAGTGGCAAGCAAGTGGTAACCATGAGCAGTTGTGTTAACTATAACATACTGTATAGTCAGTGCTCACTGAGCCATTGTTGAGTATTTTGCCAGCATTGTAACAAAGATGGTTTTGAAGTAAAGAACTGAAGAAAGATTGTGTAGTGGCTTTGTGGTTTTCTGGCATTGCCCCAGAATTATGACATGGGATGGCTAAACCAGAGTCCTATGTTTCATAGAATCATAGAAAATTAGGGTAGGAAGGGACTTCAGGAGGACATCTAATCCAACCCCCTGCTCAAAGCAGGACCATTCCCGACTAGATCACCCCAGCCAAATCTTTTTCTAGCTGGGTGCTAAAAATCTCCAAGGACAAAGATTGCACAACCTCTCTGGGAAAGCTGTTCCAGTGTTTTACTACCCTTCTGGTGAGAAAATTCTACCTACTTTCCAACCTAAACTTCCCTTGCTGCAACTTGAGACCATTGCTCCTTGTTCTGTCATCTGCCATCACTAAGAACAGTCCAGTTCCATCCTCTTTTGAACCACCCTTCAGGTAGTTGAAGGCTGCTATTAAATCCCCCCTCAGTCTTCTCTTCTCCAGACTAAATAAGCCCAGTTCTCTCAGTCTCTCCTCAGAAGTTATGTGAGTTATGTACTCCAGCCCCAAACCATTTTTGTTCCCTCCAGTGGACTCTCTCCAATTTGTCCACATTTTTTCTATAGTTGGAGGGCCCAAACTGAACATAGTACTCCAGATGTAGCCTCATGAGTGCTGAATAGAGGGGAAGAATCACTTCCCTTGACCTACTGACAACACACCTACCAATGCAGCCCAGTATGTCATTAACCTTCTTTGCAACAAGGGCACACTGCTGGCTCATATTCATCTTATTGTCCACTGTAACCCCCAGGTTCTTTTCTGCAGAGCTACTGCCCAGCCAGTCAGCCCCAGCCTGTACTGGTGCATGGGATTGCTGTACCCTAAATGCAGGACTTTGCACTTCTTATTGAGCTTCATGAGATTTCTTTTCATTCAATCCTCCAATTTGTCAAGGTCTTTCTGAATCTTCGCCCTACGCTCCAGATCTCTCCAGCTTGGTGTTATCACTTGCTGTCATCTACGAACTTGCTGAGGGTGCACTCTATGCCATCTTCCCAGACATTGATGAAGACATTGAACAAAACTGGCCCCAGGACTGACCCCTGGGGCACTCCACTTGATACCAGCTGCCAACTAGACTTTGAGCCATTGATTACTACTCTCTGAGCCCGATGCTTCAGACAGTTTTCTATCAACTTACAGCCCATTCATACAGCCCATACTCCCTTAGCTTGCCTGTGAGAATGTTGTGGGAGACCATAGCAAAAGCCTTGCTAAGATCAAGGTACACCACATCCACTGGTCTCCCTGCATCCTCAGAGCCAGTCATCTCATCATAAAAGGCAATCAGGTTGGTCAGGCATGACTTGCCCTTGGTGAATCTATGCTGACTGTTCCTAATCACTTTCTTCTCCTTCAAGTGCTTAGAAATGGATTCCTCGGGGATCTGCTCCACGATTTTTCCAAGGACTGAGGTGTGGCTGACTGGTCTGTAATTCCTTGGACCCTCCTTTTTCCTTTCCTTAAATATAAGCACTAGGTTTGCCCTTTTCCAATCATCTGGGACCTCTCCTGACCACTGTGAGTTTTCAAAGATAATGGTCAGCAACTCTGCAATCACATCAGCCAACTCCCTCATCACCCTCGGGTGCATTCCATCTGACCCTATGGACTTCTATATGTCCAGCTTTTCTAAATAATCCCTAAACTGTTCTTTCACCACTGTTGGTTGCTCACCTCCTCCCGAACTGTGCTGCCCAGTTCAGTAGTCTGGGAGCTGACCTTGCCTGTGAAGACTGAGGAGAAATAGGCACTAAGTACATCAGCCTTTTCTGCATCCTCTATCACAAGGTTGCCTCCTCAGTAAGGGACCCACACTGTTCCTGATCCTCCACTTTCTACTGCCATATTTGTAGAAACCCCTCATGTTACCATTCACATCCCTTGCTAGCTGCAACTCCAATTGTGCTTTGGCTTTCCTGACTTCATTCATGTGTGCCTGAGCATTGCTCTTATATTCTTCCCTACTTATTTGTCCAAGTTTCCACTTCTTATAAGTTTCCTTTTTTTGATTTAGTTTACTGAAGAGTTCCCTACTAAGCCAAGCAGATCTTCTGCCATACTTACTAGTCTTCCTGAATATTGGGATGGTTTGTTCCTGCACTCTCAGTAAGACTTCTTTCAAGTACAACCAGTTCTCCTGGACTCCTCTCCCCCTCAGCCTGGCTTCCCAGGGGATCCTGCCCTTGAGTTCCCTGAGCAAATTGAGTTTCTATCAAACGGTGCCCCACTTTTTTTTATAAAGGCATCATAATAATATTTTTGCATTGCTCTTATTCCTGTGCTTCTTACATTCTAACACAAACAGTCAATATACAAAGAGTAAATAGGGGCAAGTACTTACTATGATGCAGCTGATGTACTGTAATTATCAGGTATTACCCCACAGAAAGTGACAGCTAAACCAGGAAGCTTACCCCTAAATGAAACAGGGCTAAGTTACCCCAGTTAAGCTTTCACTTACTGTGGAGTAAAAGTAAGCAGACAAACGGTAACTGTGCCTCAGCTGCTGAGTGGTAGGTTCCATTTCCCCTTCGATTCATTGCAGTGGGATTGTCTGTTAGTACCTGCCCATCTACCTTTCTAAGCCCTGCTGTGCTATGACTAGAGACTTCCACTGAGCCATTCCCAATGACACCCAGGCCTTTCTTCCATGCTCTGTTAGTGAGTTTAAAATCCAGTTAAATGTAAAAGTAGTTAAAATCATTCCTTCCTACATTCACTGCTTTGCATGCATTAGCAACTGGCTTTACCTGCTTTGTACATTGCCTATCCCCCAGTCCTGTCAGGGGCTTCTGCTCTTCCAGTCTTCTCTAGTCTCGACTCACCCAGACAGTGTTGTGGCCCTTGCGTATTTTGCCACCTCCCTGACCCCTGATCATTGACAACTGTATTAAACACTAGTCCTTGCACAGCACTGAGGCCTGGGGCACAACACTCTGGGCATGTCTACACATGCATTTACTCCAGCTTAAATTTACTGTGCAGTAAGTTACTTCACAGTAAACAGAAATAGGCCGGCGTCTACACATGCAGGCATTAATGTGCATTAATGCTGTGTGTGGAATCACCTGGGACTAAAGTTAGTCCCAAGTCAGTCCACACACACAGTGTTACTGTGTAGTAAGGAGTCTACATGTGTGTTACTGCACAGTAACTAATTGGGTGTAAATTTGATACCTGCATGATACAGTATCAAATTTATACTCAAGTCAGTGTAAGTTGCCATAGTTACTGTGCAGTATGGGCATGTAGGTGTAAACACATGCCCATATTTTTTATGACACCATAACAGTGCTCTGCTAACGCTCTTTATTTCCGGTGCTCAGTCCTCTCCTGTCTTCTCTTAACTACAAATGATCAGTCTCAGTTAGAAAAAAGGGCTTTGTGATGGGCACAAATGGGTGACGAGGGTGAGATCCAGTTTTTTGCCAGGATTCCAGAAGCAAAGCAGGATAGTCTCTTAATACCCTATATAATTCAAGTCCCTTTCTCCTGCTAAGTAAATGTCGTATAACTTTTCAGTTAGAATCTACTTGTCGCTAATGGTGGGTGTTGCATTGAGAAAAGAGGCTGCAACTTGCCATTCTCTTCTGAAACCCTCCTATTTCCTTCTTGTGCTTTGGTAGTGTGCTCTGCAACATTCCAGTGTCAGGAAGACAGCACCTGCATAGATTTCACAAAGGTCTGCGACGGTCGCCTGGACTGTGTCAACGGGAGCGACGAGGAGCAGTGCCATGAAGGTAGGGCAGGAAGGTCCCTGGGGTTGCAACAAGGTTCTCTTCTGAAATGCATACCCTACCATCTAACTTGAGCTATTGATAACCTTCTACTCTGAGCTCCCAATAAATGACAGTGGCTGCCAGTAAACACCACAGAACTGATAGCTATATTTTCTCTCTGAACCAAACACAAAACACTGTGGTATTTCTAAAGCAGCCCTAGATAGGAAGCTTTATGCTATGAGTTTAGGGCAGGGGTGGGCAAATTCTGGCCCACAAGCCAGACTGGGCCTGCAGTAGACTCCATTTCCCAGTAGCCCCTGCCTGCATCACTATGGCCAGTTTCCATGAGATCCCAGGAGTGGTGGAGCCGTGACAGCATAGGACCAGGGTGTACATGGAGACTGGCCCCAGCATTGCTGGAAGGGTGCGACTGGGTGGGAAGAGGTTCTGGGCTGGGATCTTGCAGCAGTGAAGCGTGATCCAGAGCTGGGGCAGAGCTGCAATCTGCTGCCCACACACTCCAGGCAGGGGCATGCGGGCAGCGAATTGCAGCTCTGCCCCAGCTCCGGACCACACTGGCACCGCTGCAAGATCCCAGCCCTAGCCCCAGAGCAGCTCCGTGCCCATCTGCTTGTGCTGCCAGTACTGCTGGGGCCAGTCTCCATGGAAACCCCAACCCTGTGCCGTTATGGCCCCACCTCTCTTAGAGTCTCCATGGAAACCCGGGCAGGGGCTGCTGGGAAATGAAGTCCAGCCACCAGCCAAATCTGCCATTTTTTTGGTTTAGGGATTCACCAAGGCAGAAGGCTGAGATTTCTCCCACATCCTCCACTGAATAAACTCCTCTTCTCACTTAGCTCTCCCCCTGACTCTTCCTTCCACTTACATCCTTGCAGATGTTCCCTGCGGGTCATTCACCTACCAATGTGCAGATGGGTCCTGTGTGAAGAAACCCAACCCTGAGTGTGACTCGGTTGCAGATTGCAAGGACCTGTCTGATGAGAAGAACTGTGGTGAGGAAGGACTAATGTTGCCTTACACAAAGTCAGGGCATTCTGCCAAGCACTGCTAGGGGGAGGTCCCATTATCAGACAGGAAGGAAGCTCATTCAACCAATGTTCAGGTTGGCACTTGTTGGAGTCTTGGTGGCCAGTAATGTGGCACCAGCTTGAGAAGGCTCCCACTGATAGAACATGAGCCAGCCCTAAACAGGCACTGCTGAGAGGAAGCTCAGAGTCCTTGCATCCCAGCATAGCCAATTGGACATATCTGGACAGGGAAGATAATGCAGAGTGATTACACTTTCCTGTGACAATCATCAGGATAAACCTCAAATGGGAATTCTCACTAGCATAGCTGTTGACTGTGTAGAACATGCCCCACACTGCATGTGAGGCAAAGATGGCAGGGCATAAACAGAGAACTGGGAAGTCAGTAAAGCAAAAGAGAGGGTCTGATATGATGTGTGGTGATGTCTTCTCCTCCACCACATGGTAGATGCCTTTCATAATTCCTTCTTAGACTGTGGATTACAAACCTCATTAAACCGGATCGTGGGTGGCATCGACACTCTAGAAGGGGAGTGGCCGTGGCAGGCTAGCCTGCAGATCCGTGGACGCCATATTTGTGGTGGAACACTCATTGCTGACCGCTGGGTGGTCTCAGCTGCCCACTGCTTCCATGATGAAAGGTAAGTGATACAGAAGGAATGTTGGGCAGGAAATTGGCATCAGAGGGCTTTCAAAGTACCACGGACATGAGCCGTTTGGGCCTTAGCCTTATCCTAGTTGTGGTGCACAATGACCACAGAGTTTTGTATGAAGGACAAACTCAGCTCAATAGTGCTCTGGGAAGTCCAAATGGAGATGCCTGTGCCTGTGATGGGGACAGGACCATAGCAGAGAGCTGGGGGGAAAACTATAGTAGGGAGGAGTCTTACTCAGATCCCATCCACCCAATGCTTACCCCTGGTGGCCATCATTAATAGCCCTGTCCCTCTCAGGAACACTGAAAATACAGGGGACTCAGCTTCCCCAGCGATCTTCCCCATGTTCCTTTTTTTTTTATTTTCGCATTTCTGATTTTCTGACCCTCTCCTTCCTCTTCTTCTCTATCACTCTCCTTTGCAAGGCTCTATGCCTTGTCTATCTTCCTCATCAAAGCAAATGTTTTTCTCCCCTGCGCTCCTAGACTGGCTTCCCCATCCATCTGGACTGTCTACTTGGGCAAGTACTTCCAGAACACCAGCAGCTACAATGAGGTGTCCTTCAAAGTGAACCGCCTCCTCCTGCACCCATACTATGAGGAAGACAGCCATGACTATGATGTGGCCTTGCTCCAGTTAGACCACCCAGTTATCATTTCACCCTTCATCCGGCCTATATGCCTGCCTGCCCGCACCCACCTTTTTGAACCTGGTCTCCGTTGCTGGATCACTGGATGGGGGGCCCTCAAAGAAGGAGGTATGTTGCAGGGCATTAGCTGATCTCGTTCTATACTCCTCAAGGTTAGGGCTGGGCACAACCCAGTCCATGAACTGAATACAGCATCCTTCTTTATGATCTCTGGTAAAATGAGGGTTTTGTATTGTACAGGGCCTGGTTGCAGGCACAAAATACAGGAGGACAGACAGGGACACTGGAGACTCAAGAAAAGCCTGAAACAGATATATGTGGACAGCCACATGAGCATCCTTCTGGAGCTAGGGTATACTTGTGGGTGCAGGCGGGAAGGGCATACCCAGGCCTGTCCTGGCCAGGACTCACTGCTCCCATAGTGTAGATAAGCCCTTTTTATCTCTCCTGAGCTTGGCTCTATTTCTCAGTAGCAGAATCAAGAAGTAGGGCACAGAAGGTCTTGTAGTCAGGAGCTTTCAGACTTCCTAAAAATGTATCACAGCATGGCCTTCTGTAAATAACCTCACTCTTAATTTAACCCTTTAGCTCTAAAAGTTTGAATGGGCCTGCACTAGGTGACAGATGGAATATTTGGGTGAATCCTGCCTCCAACCTGTATAGCAATATGCTATAATGCCACGATGGCAGCCTCCCAGCTTTGCTTGAGAACTAATTTATGGGCATAATATTAAAGGCACAGAGGGCAGCTAGATGCCCAACTCACATTGAAAGTCTCCTCTCACGCTGTCTGCCTCTGGTCTCACAGGCCTTAAGGGCCTATAACTACTTTAACTACAGACATCTGTCTCCTCCTGTCCTGTGCAGTCTCCTTCGACATTGTCACATCTTCACATGCCCCTTGCAGATCAGGTCTTAATGTTATTTTCCTGTCATTGCCTTGGTTTGTCTCGAAATCAGATACCCTCTACCTCAGCTTCTACAATCTGCCTCACATGCTTTCTTTCATCAGTTTTCACGATATGCCCTGAGCATTTCATTCTCTACACACGTATCTTGCTCAAGACATCGGGTCTTTTGTAAAGGCCCACAAGCTCTTGATTACATCTCCATACTCCATTTTTTTATATGGCACCAAATACTTTCCTTAGCACCTTATTTTCAACCACTTGCAGCCTTTTTCCATTTGCCTTTGGCAGCATCCAGGATTCACATCCATATAAAAGAACAGGTTAAACAATTGTACTATAAAGAAAGTCTCCTAAATAAATAAATACCACTTCAATGCTGAGACAGTCCCAGTCATGACATTGTGGCATCACATTGCTCCAGTGTGGAATAGTGTTGCTGCAAGGATCTGGAACAAGTTCCCTTGAGTAAAGTCAAAGAACATTCCAACTCTGAGACCCATGAAACATAAATGGAGAACATATAGACTTGTGTCTTTTCTTCCAATTAATATTATACAACACAGCCTCAATCTACGTTGCAACAGGTACCTTTTAGCTCCCCCTAGTGCATCATCACATTTTATCAAACAAAATAATTGCAAATGGATGCAGCATCACAATAGCACAAGATTCAGGACAGATATGAGATTACAATTATCTGGGCTTGCAGATTAGACTCATAAATGTACAAAAGAGAAGGAGTATTGAAGTGCACAGGTGTCCTGCTCTAGAGCTGATCTCAGCAGGAGGGTTTTGGACTGAAGACCCATTAAGGGGTCTTTGATCAGCAAGTAGAACATGGAGGATCTTTTCTTAGCATCATTATTTTTGCAGACCCATGTGAAGAACCATGTGTATTCACAGAGTTTTACAAACATAACCCTTCCCAACAATAGAATAGTCTTCCATGAGAAGTAGCAGAAACCTTGATTTAAGATTTCAGAATTAACTAGTGATTTTGGGCACCCAAATTAAGATGCTTTAAAGAGATCTGATTTTCAGAGGCCAGTATCTGTGCACTTTCTGAAATTTAGGTCTCTTTGGGGTGTTTTAAGCTAAGCATCCTAAAACAGAGGTATTTTAAATCATTCATCCCTTTGTAAGAAAGGAGGCCCCCATCATTTAACGTGTTAAATTAGTTTGGACAAAACTCTAGCAAATATATAGTAAGAACCAACCCTAACATTCATAAATTCATAGATGTTAGGGTCAGAAGGGACCTCAGTAAGTCGTTGAGTCCAACCCCCTGCCCTGGGCAGGAAAGAGCGCTGGACAGAGTAGGGAACAGAGGGAACAGAGTAGGTGATCTACAGGAAAACGGCTTTCCCACTTACTAGGTATAATTCTCTGACAGGGAAATCTCTGAAGAAAAGGTCCAAATTTAGGCCTCTTGTAGGCAGGTGCAACTCCATTTAGTTCAAAAGTACTGTCTCCATGTATAGCGGATCACAAGGGTGGCCCAAACTCCTTGTTAAAGAGTTCACAGTTTAATTTAGAAAGAGAGATATGAAAAACAGGGAAACAACTCAGAAGGTAATGAGAGGATGATGTTAGAGAACTGATCACTGTCAGGTAGGGCAGCTTTGTGAAGGGAATGGTAAGGAGGAAAGGAAGCTCCTTTGCAGGGTACAAAGTCTGGAACTATTCTAAACACATGATGAGATGCTTGCAGCAGAAAGGGCGGTACAGGGGAAGAAATGGAGCAGAGGGCAAGAAAAGCAAATGGAGATCCATAATGAGAGACGGTGGAGAAGAATTCGGGAAACCTAAGGTAAGAGGACTGAGAAAGGGAAGGGCCACATTGGCCCAGATGTGTTTCTGCACCAATGGATTTCTCTCATTCAGGGGCTAATGCAGCTCTGTAGAACCATCACAACCTTTGTCCCTGGTGAAATGGTCACTCCAGGACACAGAAATGCCAGCATAAAGTTTCACCCTCCCACCTGCTCTGATGTCTCCTGAATAGAGCTAATTGGAATACTGACAGAGATTTAGAAATTTCACAAAAAACAGCATCTGATGACGGGAGCTTGGGCTCACAAAAACTCCTACTACAGATCCCTGACTGAGTTAGTCAATAAGGTACAAATCCACCCTATTGTCTACCAAAGCTTTTGTCAGAGAGATTCTACTCCTTTTTTATCACAACCTTGACTGGAAAACTTTGCTCTGAATCAAGTGGAGCAGGGTCTTGAAACGGAGTCTCCACCGCCTTCCCAGGCCACGTGGAGCCAAAATAAATTTCAAAACCTCAGAAGCTGCTGCAAAATGGAATTGTCATTATCCAGACAGCTCTGCTCCCTGCATGCCCCACCAGGTGTACAGTGATGTTAAATACAGCCCACCATACAGAGCTTTGTTGGGGAGGGAGGAGCTTGAACTGACCCTAAAAGATGAAAAGCCCATGTTGGGTTCAGGGAGAGGGGAACAATGAATGCAAGTGGAGGACAGGAAGATGAGTTGCATGGCAGCTCTTTGGACAAACTGGAGACAGAGAGAGTCAGGACATGTGCAGTGGTTTAGGGGGATAACAGGAAGGCTCATCTGCTACTCACATGCCAGTCTTGTGTTTTGCACCCAGGCCACATCAGTAACGTCTTGCAGAAGGTAGATGTGCAGCTGATCCAGCAGGACATCTGCAGCGAGACCTATCACTACAAGATCTCTCCCAGAATGCTGTGTGCTGGCTACCACAAGGGCGAGAAGGATGCCTGCCAGGTGACTGAGGAGACATAGGGTGCTCCCACCATATGACAGGATTGCCTAGCATCCTGCGGGTGAGGGATGGGAGGAGGTTCCTTCTGGCAGAACATGCTCCATAGCCTTAAATAAGGGACCTGACAATGGCAAGAGCTGATGAGTAGAATAACCCCTCCACCCCAACTGTCAGCCACCTAACTCTCCCCATCCTCACCCTCCAGTTACAAGAGCAGAAATTTATCTTCTCAGTTCCTTAGGGTGATGTCCAGTCTCCCAGGAGACTACATCTTGGTGATGTAGCCTTACGAGAGCCACACCAACCCCCTCGGGAAGTTTATTCACTTTTTCCTCAGTGTCTGCACTGTATTTAGGATTGCTGGTGACAGAAATACAGCTTCAATGTTCCCTCTTTCATTCCAGCCCATTATATCCTCGCTCTTAGCTCCTCCTTTACATTCCTTTTGAGCAACAATCACCACCTCATTCCTTTGGAGGAGGTTCCCGTCATTCCTCCCAATCCCAGACCCTACCTTACATCAAATGCAACTGCCTTTTCCTTCATTATTCTACATTCCCCAATCATTGTGACTGGTCCCACTCATTGTAGGATCCAGCTCAAATTTGTCAGCTTCAAAGACTCCTGTGGACTTGCTCCAGCCTGTTTCCTCCTGGGATTTGCATTGACTGGAAGAATAAATGTAAGATAGAAAGCATCTAATAGCTGGTTGGAGAAGTAGGACCCACACTCTCAAGGATGTGCTAGCAGCTAACATCAGTTCTCATAAGCCTTTGGTTTCTCGTTCTCTGGTGCACCTCTCTGCCTGAGGTACAAATCTCTGTGGTAGATACTGCAGACACCTCAGGTACTGGGATGGAGCAGTGGATTGTAGCTACTCAATGGGGCCTGACCAGGAGATGAAGAAAGGGTAATGCATTGTCAAAAAGGTTGTAAGGTCATTGTTCTCCAGCACCATCACTGTAGAAACCTGATTGCCCTTTCTTTCCTTTTCCCTCTCCAGGGCGATTCTGGAGGTCCCCTTGTCTGCAAGGAGCCCAGTGAGAGGTGGTTCCTAGCTGGCCTGGTGAGCTGGGGGCTAGGATGTGCCCGTCCAAATTATTACGGGGTCTACACCAGGATTACGCAGGTGCTGGGCTGGATGAAGCAGACGATGAGCTGAGGAGTGTCTGCCTGTGCCTTCCCCATCCATTATGTCCTCTTGACACTGGTCATTTTATCTCCAGTGCTGGGAAAGAGACTTTATTTCAAAGTGTTGTCAGGGTTGGGAGGCCTGCAGCCTTCAGTGTGAACTCAAAGATAATATGTAGCAGAGGAAAACTAAGGAGAAGTACCAGAAGTCCCCCCTGCTCTTCTCAAGAAATGTCCATTTTTTTATTAAGGTCAAGCACACAAAGAGCCAGGGCTATGGTGCATTCTGCAGGGGGGGCAAGGGAGCATAGGTTCCTAGGGTTCCTGGACAGATGTTTTCTGGTTAAGTTACTGGAGGGGAAGGCATGGGCGAACTCCATGATTCATTCCCCATCCCAATGCTGGAACACTTGCCGAAAGAAAATCATACTGATGTAGCTAGAGCTGAGATCCCCATAACTGTGAAAACAATCTGCTTCTCTCTGTCCCTTCCTGTCATTCATCCTTCTCTTTCCCCTTCCCCCTTGCCTTACACCTCCTTCCCGTACTAATTGCTGCTTTTCTTAGCTAGAGCATGTGGCTAGGGTTCAGCTGTGCAACTGTTATGTATCAGTGCCTCAGGTCAGGAGACCATCGCTATGCCCTTGTGTGTTGCTGCATCTCTCCTGTAATAGCACCACCCTCTTTTGCTGCAGTTGGACTCCTTCAGGCAGAGTTCCTGGCCATCTGAGAAGCCTCCTTCCCAGTTCTGTGAATTAATTTAATACTTTTAACACAAAGATCTTCCTTCAGTTCCATCCTCAGAGCCCAACTGGTCAATGAATGAGGGGAGAGGTCGCGGACTGGGTACTTTAGATGGTGATTGCTATGTATTTATAAAGAAATATTATGGGCCACTCTCTAGAACTGGAAATAAAATGGATTATTTTTTGCTCTACATTTCCTTTCTCTGTTTAACTTTTCCTGGGTAAAGACTGCATCTTTCTGCCCTGAATTCCATGTGCAGCAACTTTATAGGAATGGATTAGGGTGCAAACCTCAAGGAGAAAGCCACCTCCTTCTCATCTAATGAAGACAGCCATCTCCCTCCCATCTACATCCTGGGTCCACTCTGGACATCTGGTCTTCTAGGTAGGTGCTCAGACAGTGGTCATTATTGTGGTGTGAGCCTCAACAGGAAGAGCTTCTCCCATCGACCCTGTTGCACATACTTAGAAAATGCCACACAGACAGTAAAGTATGGTGTGGCCAGGCTCCCTTTGACTGTAAGAAATTCTCTGCCACTTTATCTAGGGTCCAGGAGAGCTTCCCTTTCCACATCTCAAACTGGAGGACAGTGAGTGTTCAGTAACTATTCCTGGTTAAGACCAGGAGATGACAGGAGGTTCTTTGCCTCCATATTTCTGAGCAAGGACCGGGACAACTCCCCCACTAGGATTACGGACAGGCTCAGAGCACACGATGCCATGCCTAGGGTCAGGGACGATCTAGTTAGGGAACTCTTGAAGGGACTGGACGTGTATAAATCACCAGGTCTGAATGCTCTTCATCCGAGGGTACTAAGGGAATTGGCGGAGGTCATAGCAGGGCCCCTGGCACAGCTGTATGAGTGCTTGTGGTGCTCTGGCCACGTCCCAGGGGACTGGAAAAGGGCCAATGTGGTCCCCATTTACAAGAAGGGGAGAAGGGAGGACCTGGGTAACTATAGGCCAGTTAGGCTTACCTTGGTTCTTGGGAAGACCTTTAAGAAAATTATCAAGGAACACGTCTGCAGAGGCCCAGCATGGGAGGTAATGCTTAGGGGCAACCAACACCGGTTCACTGCAGGCAGATCCTGCCTGACTAACCTTGTTTCCTTTTACGACCAGGTCACAAAGTCCTTGGATACGGGTGTTGAGGTGGATGTTGTCTACCTGGACTTCAAGAAGGTCTTTGACACTGTTTCTCACCCCATTCTCATAAAAAAACTAGGCGACTGTGGCATTGATGTCTACACAGTCAGATGAGTGGCATATTGGCTCAATGGTCGCACCCAGAGAGTGGTGGTGGACAGGTCATTTTCAACCTGGAGGGATGTGGGCAGTGGAGGTCCTTGTACCCAGAAAGTGGTGGTGGACAGGTCATTTTCGACCTGGAGAGATGTGGGCAGTGGAGTCCCCAGAGCTCGGTCCTCAGGCCTGTGCTATTCAACATCTTTGTCAGTGACTTGGAAGTGGGCGCGGAAAGCATGCTGTCCAGATTCGCTGATGACACAAAGATGTAGAGCAAGATGGGCACACTGGAGGGGAGGGACAGAATCCAGCTAGATCTAGACAGGTTACAGAGGTGGGGGGATGAGAATAGGATGGAATTCAATGCAGACAAGTGCAAGGTGCTGCATCTAGGGAGAAGGAACCAGCAACACACGTATGGGCTGGGGAACACCCTTCTCAACAACACAGTGGCTGAAAGGGATCTTGGAGTCATTGTTGACTCCAGGGTGGACGTGAGTCGCCAATGTGAGGAAGCGGTCAGTAAGGCTAACCGCACCTTGTCGTGCATCTACAGATGCATCACAAGCAGGTCCAGGGAGGTGATCCTTCCCCTCTATGCGGCGCTGGTCAGGCTGCAGTTGGAGTACTGTGTCCAGTTCTGGGCACCGCGCTTCAAGAGGGATGTGGCTAACCTTGAGAGGGTCCAGAGGAGGGCCACTCGAATGGTCAGAGGGCATCAGGGCAGGCCCTACGAAGATACACTAAAAGGCTTGAATCTATTCAGCCTCCACAAGAGAAGACTGAGAGGGGATCTGGTGGCCATCTATAAACTCACCAGGGGGGACCAGCAGAAAATAGGTGAGGCTCTGTTCCCCCAGGCACCACCTGAGATAACAAGGAATAACAGCCACAGATTGATTGAGACCAGGTTCAGAATTGATATCAAGAAGCATTACTTTACAGTCAGGGCTGCCAGGCTCTGGAATGGGCTCCCAAGGGAGGTGGTGCTCTCCCCTACCTTGGTGGTCTTCAGAAGGAGGTTGGATAGATATCTGGTTGGGGTGTTATGATCCCAGCGCTCGTTCCTGCCCAGGACAGGGGGTCAGACTTGATGATCTGGTCAGGTCCCTTCCAACACTAGAAACTATGAAACTATGGAACAGGCAGGTAATAGGGAACACAACCCATTTACGGGGGAAAGGGTTAATACGAGCTGCACCCAGCAAACAACTTTCCCATCCTGTCTGCTTTGTGAATTTTATTCACAGTCCAGCCTAGTCCCATTTGTGCTGGGATGTCCCACAGGGTTCTCTGTGCGGAGACTCTTATCACAGATACCTCCTGCCTTGCCTGCCATTCCCGATCAGGGCTGAAAGGAGTTATAATGCCTCTGCATCATTAACATCTTGGTCCTTATTCCTAGTACCCAGACCCTTCCCAGGAGCACCAGACTCCTGTGGCAGAAAGGCGCAGAGACAAGAAGTAACAATCTGTGAGATTTATTGAGGAGTTACAACATAGCGTCCTCAGACACAGCTATGAAGCAAACAACCCACTCCCAGAAGCACAGGCTGGCATCTCCCGTTTAGAGCAGACAAAATCCTCACAGGTGTCCCAGGCAGCACTTTTGCCTCTTTCACCCTCACTGGTCTCGGATTTATTACTGTGAGGCGTCTATGTGCATATCACCCTACAAGGGCTCGACCCTTCCTCCTTCCTCCCCATAGCAGGCATAAAGGCAGATGCTCTTTGGAGAGAGACAGGGATTCTCTGTTTGTCTGCTGGTGACAAGCATGGTTTGACTGCCTTCCCCAATGGCAGGCTCTGTTATAGAGCAGGGAAGGACCCTACAGTAAATCAGGCACACGGGCCCAAAACTGAGAAGTTGGAGTGGCAGAGGGAGCTTATAGCTGTTGTGCTTTCTTCTGCCTAGCAGGGGTCGCTGTGACACTAAAAAGGCAAATGCAAATCTTGTGGGCAAAGGGTGATTGTAGGGTGTGGGTTACACCCCTGCAGCAAGTCAGACACAGACTTGAGCGTCTGCCTGCCTCCAAGGGGTGCTGGCATGAGCTTCAGACAGGATATTCCAAAATACAGGTTTTAAAGCAAAGGCAACCAAGTTGAGGGTGAGACGTGGAGTCAGCATGACGCTGTCCCACAAGGGGCTGCCATAAACTATGGTACAAAAATAAAGATTTAAACTGGAAATTAAAAAGAGGGAGTTGAGCACTAGAATGACATCCTGAGGCCTCTGGCTTGTAACAGCTGGAAAATGAGAGAAAGAGCAAAGCCAACGACAGAGAAAATCAAGAATGAAAGGAAATGGGAGAATGGGAAGAGGAATAGAAAAAGGGAGAGAAGAAAGAACAGAAAAGAGAAAGATGTGAAAAGGGAGGAAAGAGAGAGAGAGAGAGAGGAAGGAAAATCCACATGAGTAAAATACATTGACTTAAGAAACTCAAGTCTCACAGCTGAGGGAGAAGAGGCTCCTGAACAGAAGGCAGGAGAGAGCCTGGCAAATGCCAGACAGACAATGAATGCCCTAATCATGAAGGGTGCAGGAAGAGGGATTCAGAAACCTCCCATGTGATACAAATCCTGTAAAATCCCTAACAAGAGAGAACCAATGACTCTTCCCTCTGAGCTCCTTATGGCACCAGCCATCAGCACCACACAGCCAACGCTTATGAACTACAGAGCGCTGGGGCATATTTTACGCAGAGCCCAAAAAGCCAGCTGCTCAGTTGCTATGCTTATCCCCAGAACAGTCACCCTGTTGGAGTCTGAGGGGAGATGAGATGACCAGCCTAAGATTTCTTTCAGAGGCAAGTGGCAGTGAGACAGGAAAGATATAGAAATCTTCATGCAGAATATTCTGTCAGCTGTCAAGAAGAGGATTAACAGTAGCTTCTGGGAGAAAGACTTGTGGGATATGTGCATCTATCTGTCTGTCAGTGCCAGGCAGAAATGTGGCACTTCTCCCATTTACAACAGGATAAGTCTTGCCCTTGTTCCCACCCCTCTTAGTTTCTCACAGCTTTGCTCTGCCTTCTGCTGCCAGAGCCTTTAGTCCAGAACTGTAAGGCCTGCTCAGAAATAAAGGCACAAACCAAAAAAATCAGGAAAGCATCACATAAAGAAAGTACTCCCCCCCCCCCCCAGCCACCCCCACCCCCCAGCTTTACAAACCAAGGCCAGATCCATAAGAGGGGAGGTGAGTGTCACCCATGCAGAACTCAGATTTGTATCTGAGAGTGCAGACAGGTACTGTACCTGCAGAGAAGGAAAAGTGAGGAGCAGGAAGACATGGGGTCCTGAGTGGGGAGCACGCAGGATCAGAGGCTGGGGAGGTGAGGTATGGGAACTTAGGTGCATGGGAAGAAGCAATGAAGGTGAAGGGGACAGAGGAGCAGAATTCTTGAGGGAAGGCAGCGTGGAGAGGAGGGGGTGGAAGCCCCATGGGCAGGATGAGAGCAGCGGAAGGGAGCAGGAGGAGAAGGAGTCCGCAGGGAGAAAGAATTAGTGGAATCCTGAGTAGATGAATGTGCTGCAAATAAAAATAAAAAATTAAGTTAAACAGAAAGCAGCAGCCAGGGTAACAGAGCTCCCACTGAACCCTCAGCCCCAGTGTGCCTCCTGCTCCCTGCAGTGATTCCCCCAGCCCCTTCCCTAGTGCTTCCCTGACGCTAGCTGTGCAGACTCTCACCAGAAGGGAATGGACGGCTTTATGCTCGGGTATTTATTATTATCATTTTCCTCAGGGATTTGCTGCACCTTTCTCCTCTGCTTCTGCCTCTGCCTCTGCCTCCTCCTCCTGCTCTTCCTCCTCTGGATCCTCCTCTGTGCTCTGCGTCCCAGCATGCAGTACAAAGGGAAGAAAGAGCGGAGACACTTGCAAGATGAGCCATGGTGATTTTTGCTCAAGCACCAGGCCTTAATGTAGTGGTCATACTTGGGCCCAAGAGAGAATTTCTCTAAACAGATTAGAGATCTTTGGAGGTAGTTGGGGGCAGGGGGGAATTCACTGATCTCCAGAGCACAGGATCTATCCCACATACAAATGCAGATGGTTGTCAGGTACTGAGAGAACTTGGTTCTTCCTATGGTCTACTGCCTACCGAGCAAGTGCCCCGCAGGGAGTTTCTCCCCTCCCTTTCCTGCCAGAAGGTGAATAGGGAACTTCCTCCTATTTCCACATATTGGAACTCATTGGAGGAAACATTCCTCCTGCATAAAAAAGTTTGTAGACTTGGTCAGGAAACAGATGCCTGCTGCAAAGCATTCTGAGGATTCACATGCTTGCGGGACTGAGGAGAGCAACACACTCACTATGGGCACAATGAGAAGGGATATCAAATAGGCATGAGAAGGTCGCAGGTACCTCATTACAGTGATTTACCACATATACAAGGTCCCATTTGGTAGCAGATGATGGCACTTCATGACCTTGAAAAAGGGACTGGCCATGACATTTCACCACCTGGTTAACTCACAGCTGAAGTTGATAGAGGAAAGAGAGAGAAGAGGCTCTTACGGTGATGAAGATAAGCCATTAACAGGGAGGGTGACGTAAAAGTTAGTCTCACCTTGACTTTGCGGCTGGGCTCAGAGCTCAGGCCATTAGGAGAACTGTACAGCTCTTTGGAGACCACGCACAAAAACTCTGTCTGGTCCTCATTCCCATAGTTATAGGTTGAACCAATATTCACCAGCTGGAAAGAAAAAGGAAGGGAAGATTACACACGTTCATTGCTATATGGCCACTGTTCTCTGGGGGAAAGCCTTCAGGCAGCACTGAGTCAAACCTCTATGTATGAATCCCGCTAATAAGTCCCAGCAGCTGGGAACAAAACAGAGGCTAGGACACGAAGAACTGGGAATGGAACCTGCTGAAATGCAGAGAACTTTATCCTCAGATGCACAGGGTCCTCCCAACTCCCACTGAAGAGGTGACAGGGAGAGGGACACTCCCTGACAGCATCCCAGGTTGTTTCAGGTGAGTGAACACTACTTCTGGAAGGGAGTGTGCATTCTGGCACCTTGGGGTTATGGCTTGTTTCCCTTCTCCTATGACTTGTTTGCTAACAGTATACTCCTACCTAGGCCACACATATTCTGCCCATACCTGCTCAAAACGCCAGCCATCTGACATGGTGGAAACCATCTGAGTGAGCTCTTCTTCCTGGCATTGCAGCACCCGGTACACATGTTTTGGTGGAACCTGGGAGCAAAGTAAAGGGTTTATTAAAAGCATGTTGCTGACAGATCCTTCCTGTGAGGCAGATGTTCCATCAGAAAATAAAGCAAAATGGTTCTCTGGCCTTAAGACACCATACTGGAACAAAAACTAACACCATTGTGGCTAATAAGAAGAGAAAGACCTGTGGCTCAACTTCATACTGCCTAGTCCTTGGAGAGCCTGGAATGAGGACAGAAAAGAAGAGTGGTTTCTATGGTGGGGAAGGAGCAGACCGCAGATGCAGCAGAAAAGCACCTGTTTTAAATGCACACAATGCAGGGGAGAATCCAGCACTCAGCACAGACCACACTCTTTGATATGGGAAATCTGCAATTGTTACTAACATTAATGAAAGTCACCTATATAGTGCCATAGATGCCCATTTACAGGCAGTCAGCACATTCCCCATCCCATGGGGGTTTACAGCCTAAGTCATATAAGGTAAAAAGCAGCACAAGATAAGGCACAGGACAACTATTCAAAGAAAAGAGGGTAGGATGATATTACTGGCAAGGAGCAGCAGTGTATCTGCCACAGGATGCCTGTGTAATTATGGGCAAAGCACCTAATCTCTCTGTGTCCCAGTTTCCAGCCTGCAAAAGGAAAATGATAATCCAGCCATTCTCTCACCCTTTCTCTTGTCTACTTGGATTATATATCCTTTGGGGCAGGGACTGTCCCTGTGTTTGTATAATACCTACTAAAGTAGGACCCCAATGTCAATATGAAAGTCTTGGTGACACTGTAATGCATGTTACCACCATTATTTATTATTGTTGTTGTTATTTGCAGGACTGTTGTTGTTAGTAGTAGTAGTAGTAGTAATAGTAGTAGTAGTAGTATTTATTAAGAAGCAGAAAGTATTAAAGGAGAGCTTGAAATAGGTGAGCAGGGTGAGAGGTGGAGAAGTCAGGATCAGTGATTTCCTCTCCACAGCTACCCCTCTGCCTAATGCCATGATGACACTTTAGTGACTCCCCCCATATATCCTTCTGCCTTCCCTCATGCTAACACCTCAGTGATTCCTCACTGATCTCCTCCTGCCTCCCACAGTGGCAGCACACTAAAGGGAATGAGCTGACTACTTTCTGAACAGACAGGGGCCCAGCAGACATTATACCTTCAACACACTAGCCCCTTCATACATTGAACAAGCCGTTACGGTTAGTGCTCTGACTGAAGGCTGATGATATAAGATCTTCACAGATAAAATAAATGCCACATCCAGTGCCACCTCTGGAGTAAGAAAATAGGACTGAGTTATTGTAATTAAGTGGAGATCTTGTTCAGGGGAAATTTCAGGACATGGAATTTAGCTTGTTGACTCTACTCAGTGCAGTCATCCCTGTGTTTCTACTGCATGATTCGAGCATCTCTCCCATTTGCCCTCCTTACTGTTCCTGGTTCTTCTTTCTTCCTCAGCTCCACCCTCTGTCTCCTTCTCTCCCCATACCTGTGTTACTGTGTAGTCCTTCTCCTCCAGTCTGTCCTTGATTATTCTGATTAAAGGGCCAATGTTATAGAACTCGGCTTCTTCCAGAACCCCTAGAAATAAAGGCACAGAGAGCACAAAAGGCACATGGATGAGCTGCTGTACTTTCTTATTGGCTTATTTTCTCTGTTTCTCAGTCCCATTTGGCATCTCCAAGAATTCAGATCCATTGACCAGGAACTCCTCGTACATGAAGAGGTTTGGGCTGTTTGGAAACTCCTACACCTGGTATTGAATTCAGACTGCCCTGATTACTGGACCATGGGAAGAGGTAGTGTCCTGAACTGAACCCCAGCTCCCTGGTTACCATTCCTAGATTCATAGATGCTAGGGTTGGAAGGGACCTCAACAGATCATCCAGTCTGACCCCCTGCCCTGGGCAGGAAAGAGTGCTGGGGTCAGATGACCCCAGCCAGTTGCCTATCCAACCCTCTCTTAAAGACCTCCAAGGTACAGAAGAGCACCACCTTCCTTGAAAGCCTGTTCCAAATTCTGGCCACCCTTACCGTGAAGAAGTTCTTCCTGATGTCCAGCTTAAATCTGCTCTCTGTCAGTTTGCGACCATTGTTTTTTGTTATCCCAAGAGGCGCCCTGGTGAACAGAGCATCTGCAATCCCTTTCTGCGCCCCCCTAATGAATTTGTAGGTGGCCACAAGATCACCTCTCAGCCTTCTCCTGCGGAGGCTGAAGAGATCCAGTTCCCTTAGTCTCTCCTCATGGCACTTGGCCTGAAAACCCTTAAGCATATGAGTGGCCCTCCTCTGAACCCTCTCGAGGTTATCCACATCTTTCTTAAAGTACAGCACCCAAAACTGGATGCAGTACTCCAAGTGCGGTCTGACCAATGCCACATAGAGGGGAAGTATCACCTCCTTGGATCTGTTTGTCATGCATCTTGCTAATGCATAATACAGTGCAGTTAGCTTTGCTGATGATTTCATCACATTGATGATTCATGTTCATCTTGGAATCCACTAGGACTCCAAGATCCCTTTCTGCTTCTGTGCTGCTGAGAGGGTCATTCCCCAGCCAGGAAGTGTGCTGGATATTTTTACGCCCCAAGTGCAGCTCTCTGCATTTGTCCTTGTACTGCATCCTATTGTGTCCTGCCCACTTTTCCAACCTGTCCAGGTCCACCTTCAATCATTCCCTACCCTCCAGTGTGTTCACTTCACTCCACAATTCAGTATCATCTGCAAACTTGGACAGATTACACTTCACACCCACATCCAAGTCACCGATGAAGACATTGAAGAGAACAGGTCCAAGGACCGAGCCCTGCAGCCCCCACTGCCCACATGCTTCCAGGTCGATACTGACCCATTCACCACCACACTCTGGGAATACCCCGCTATCCTGGCTGTGATTCCAGAAAGGGGGCACTGTTCACTGAGCTCTGAACCCAGGCCCACTGCTCACTTTCCCAGGGAGAGAAAGGCTCTCATTATGGGGTACACAACCTGCTCCCTCTGATTTACTGACTGAGGAGGTTGATTATAAGCCCCTGGATACCTTTCTGAGGGCTTCACTTTGGCCCTTGGTTACTGTCCTGAAGGCTTCATTCAGCGGCCACTGAATACACTCTCAGTTTCTCTTCTGCAGAGTTCTATATGCTTAAGAGTGAGACCTGATTTCACTTCTTGTCATTGTCCTGGGACTACAGGAATTTGAATTTTCCCATCTGGTCCCTGTCCTTCAGTGACCTTTGTCTTGCTGATCTCAGAACTGAATTGTGCTTTACCTCAAAGCAGATCAACAAAGATTTGTGTTTCACTTTAAGCTACTGTGTTTGCATCTGGCCCCTCTCCTGAGACACACATGATCATGTTGCTAACAGGCCTGTGGGAGAGGGTAGGTGGGGGGCATGGTACCTAATGGGTCCACAAGGGGCAATGATGTCTCAAAAACAACCTTCACAGATTCCCTGGTCAGTATGCAGACATGGCAGGAAAGTGAGATTTGTCTGACCTCACCCTTCCCACTTCAACCCACTCAGAGCTTTTCATCCTCCTACCTTCCTAGTGGAAAAAGTGGAAGGGTGAGAAGGGACTGGGTGATAAAGCAGTCTCAGCCAAACAGGGCTCAAACCCTGTCAGGTTGCATTGGAGAAGGCCACCTGCATCCTATTTGATAATTCAGCAGGGAACTTACTATCCCAATGACCACAGTGACCTTGTTGCTCCTTTCCCATCTCTTCTGATCCCCAGTAACTGCAACAGCCCATTCAACCAGTGGAGCAGTGATGGGGACACCAGCTTGTTCAAGGGTTGGACTCAAACTGGGCTTCCCTCACCATCCTAGTGGGCACTCCCTCCCAAGCACTTATTCAGTGTATCAAATGAAAACTGACCCATTTTCAAGATAGCAGAATGGAATGAGGTCAGGGAATTAGGGCAAACAGCATGTAATGTAACCCACTTCCAGCAGCAGGGAGAGGTGTTAAGAAGGAAGTTTGGGGTTTCTAAGACTCACCCTCTTCAGCCATATCTTTATCCAGTACCAGCTTGCCATGACGGAGAAAATTCAGGATAGGTCCAAAGTATGTGGGGTCCCGGTCTATGAGGTAGGCACCAGTCTCATCCTAACCACAGAGACAAGCCAACATAGGAAAAATGTACAAGGGAAACTTGTCCCCATCCCTGACAGCACCATGCAATGAACTGTAATAACATAATAATTTTAGTAACAATATATGATATTTCTATGGCTCTTTTGAGTAGTAGTAAAGACATGCCAATGGAGCTGGGTTCAGTTCTCTTGGCTATGCAATCTTGAGACATTTACCACAATCTCTCTGTGCCTCAGCTTCCCTATGAAAGATGAAGATGATGCTACCTCCCTTCTTTAAGTGATTTGAGATGAAGAAAACCATAAGCATTAGGCCTCTTAAATCCTTCCGAATCACAAAGGCATACAGTACCATTTAGAAAAACAGCCACCTCTGAGTGAAGGGCTGCTGGTAAATGCTGCAGACAACAGTGCTACAAATACACAAGCTCGGGTACTTTGGCAAAATCAGCATCAAAGCCAAGCAGCCCATCAGGCCAACACAGTTAAAGCACTCCAGTTTCTGCAGCCAACAGAGGGACATTATGTTCAGCTGCTTCTGGTTCCCCTGCCTAAACGAACAAGTACATATTTACAGCTGGTTCAACAGGAACAGATTCCAGCACAAGTCCAGCATGAGGCTCAAACGCACAGCTTCAGGTTCATAGCAAGATGCCTTAACTACTATGTCATCATACTTTGCTTGGCAAAGCATGCTGGGTCAAAACAGTACCCAGGATTTTTAACATTCATACAGAGCAAGCGGGACCTTGATTGTAAAGGTCTCAGTATCCTAAGCTCAGCCCCGCAGCAAAAGAGACAATACTCTTACTTTTTTTCCCTCGGATAAACTGAAAGGATCTAGGAAACTCCTGCACAGATCTGAGCTGATGGGCTTCCTGACATTTCAGGCCTGAAGCTGCCACCCCTCCAAACTCTCCCTTCTGATTGATAAGGCTTTCTGGGAGCTTTACTACATTTCCCTGTCAGTAACAGCAAGAATCAAAAATAAAAAGTCGGGGACTCTCCACTCAGCATGGCTCCTACCTTGACAGTCGCATGAAGGCAAGGAGGATGGGAAGCTCTTAATTTTGGCTGTACTCGGCAAAGCTATTCCTCCTGTCAGGCTTCAGCTTAAAGTCTGAGCCAAGCAGTGGCTCAAAGCTAGGGCACTTCAGGTGGAGTAGTGACAGCACAAGAAAACAGAGCCTCTCAGGAGTCGCTGGTAGTTCTGGTGCAGAAGACAGGTGTTATGCCACATATTAAGACAGCTGCATGGCACTAAAAAGAGAAAACCAGGGGATCCAGGGAGGGATGAAGGTCTCTCCATCAAATTACATCTGCCCCTCTGCAGCCGCAGAGATGCTGTGCCGTCCCTGCCATCAGCCTGGCTCCATCCCTTTCTCTCCTATTCCTGCACCGAACCTTTCTCTGCCCGTGTGCTCCTTTCCCTCTCTCCTCTTTTCCTCGTGCCCCCCAGCCCAGCCTGTGCAGAGCTTTGTCTCTCCCTCAGGGGTCCCTTTCTTCCCAGACGGGTACAAGAAGAAGGCAGAACACAACCGCACGCACGCACACACGATGCCAGGCAGAAAGCTACCCCTCAGGGCAGGTGCCAGCCTGATGCTTACCCGGTCCGACTGCAGCTCCTCCCCCTGGCACAAGCGGCACAGGAATGATTTCTGTTCCCGGCACAGGGTCTGCCTCGTGGTTAGGAAGATGGTGCCCCCAACATTCAGCCGTACCCACTTGCCCCTGCTGCTGGTGGCAGGGGGAGGCTGGTGAGTTTCCCAGGCATAAGAAACCCTTTCTGCCCGTTGCATTTCCTCCCTTCCTTCCATCCTCATCTCTCCCTCTCTCTGTCTCTCTCTGTCCCTCCCCTGCTCCTAAGCTAAAGAAACCAAGGCAGGTATTGGACACTGGAGGATTCTGGGATCTGTAGTTCCTGAGGTGGCCTGCACCCCAGAGGTGGCTGCATTTCAGTGGTGCTGTACGTACACAGCTTCTTAAATGCTATGGGATCTTTTGGGAAGATGGATGCTGGATGAATGTTGTATCTACTGTTCTTGGTGAATGGCACAAGAAGCAAAAGTGAGATCCACAATCTGAACCACTGCTATCATTCAGAGGGCATTAGGATCACGGTTTTTGCTTACAGCCCTTCTCTAATTTTTATGAGTGTACTTGCTATACAGCACTTTGAAGAGGCAAAGTAATACGTAAAAAACTTTAGTTGTCAGGTGAGTGACGTTCTCTCTGAAAATGGGCACCTAGGAATTCTGGGAACTGTAGTTTTCTATGTCCCACCATGCCTGCAACCCATGATGGGTGGACTTGGGAGATGCTGAGAAGTGCAGTGTAACACATCCCACTAACCCGGCTGTGGGACACCAAAGGACTCTGGAAGCTGGCCTCCAGATCTGGGTCACGCATGCAGTGTGCTTTGAATGGAGGAGAAAACTGCTGCGCCCATCCGCCAAATAGTGTTATCCCTTCCAGTGCCAGCAGGACAGTCACCTTTCCTGTTCCTGATTCCCCAAACAGGTATCTGACTGCTATCTCAGTCACTGCAGTGCTGTTGAAGTAGAGAAGTTGGACAATTTCCTTCTTTGAAGTGGGTGGTTTTAAGAGTGGGGAATCAGCCTTAAGCAACAAAGCCCAAGTTCTTTATATTTCTCTCTGACTCAGAACAGCCATCTATCTACTTGGCAAATTTTCCCTAATCTGCTACCCTTCCAGCACCTCTAAATCTGCCTGGCAGAGACTCCTTCGTGCGGGAGGAAGGAAAATGAGTCTCCATGTTCACTTAGTCACAGGGCTTTGCTGCTACCACACACACACAAACACACACACTCTCTCTCTCTCTCTCTATCTCCAATGTAACTCTGGAATGATGTAGCACCTTCTAAAAGTTTCTACCTCTAGCTCTTCTGAATGCCCCATTCCAGGCAGTGGTTGTGGGAAAGAAAAGACCAGCTTCATCAGCAATTTAGTTGCATGAATTCCAAGACTTAAGCAAAACACAAATGCTTTATCTATCCCACAACCCAGCGTCTACCACACCCTACTAACCAACTACAGCCACGCCTGCCAATCTTTCAAATGGTATTCATATCAGGAAGAAAAATGCTGATTGCTTCCCTCCGTTAGTCTGACACAGTCTATATCTTCTCTTACCTCTTTTCCAAATAGGTTTCTGACCTTTGGCAGTGTAACACACAAAATGCAGCAGCATAGACATTTTAATTTATCATGTCCAAATGTTGCCTTTCCAGTCCAGGCTGTTGCTTCACCATGATATGCATGCTTTAGCTTTTGTTCTAATCAAGGATATGCATCTATATATTAATAACAGTGTTTGCAGGAATGGTGCTCAACCTTTTTAAGGCACCTCTTGGAAAATACCGGCTTTTAGTTTTCATTCTTTTTTGAGTATGGGAAAATAATAGAGCCATTTTTCTGTTGCAAAGAAATCATATAGACCACAACAGGTCAGAATGTTTTTAACATTATGGATACCTAGTTGAAATCACTGGGTTTATCTTGTGAATCATTCTTGTACACCGAACAGTGCTACCTTTGTGTAGCACCCTACAACACCCTTGAAAGAAACTCACGGTACTCCAGGATGCCATCATTGCCTTAGGCGCTTTTGCTGATGTAATCAGGCACCAAACCCCTTCAAAATCATGTTGCAGTGCTAGATGTTAATATCTGAACAGAAATCACAGGCCTGACTGTGCACCTTCAAGGTGTTTGCAAAATTGGGCTGTGCTTTTCAGGCCAGCAAGTAGTGTATTGGGTGAGCATGGGCAGACTAGCATTACTTTGGGCTATACTGATTGCTCTAGGATAGTCTGTGAGGAAATTAAGGGATTAATAGTGAAGAAATTATGTTCTGGGAAGAAGAGAGAGGGATGGGAGGGGCAGAAAGCAGGAACAGGGAATTGTAGGACTGCTACTGGAGGATTTCCTATGCTTATTAGGCCTGTGCGAGTCAGCAGCAATCCGATCCGGCTTCAGATCCGGCCGCTTTGGATGGCCGCAATCCAATCTGGAGCTCTGACTGGGTTCCCGCCTCCATCCGGCCAAAGCGTCGGAGCCGCCTCGGAGATCCGGCCATAGGGTATAATGGGGAATCAATGAAATATCTATAACTTTGTTGTTTTTTGTCTGATTTGGATGAACCTTGCAGGGTTGGTAGCCTCTCCTGAGAGCATGAAACCTGCCAAGTTTCAAGAAGATCAGTGCAAGGGTTTGGGAGGAACTGTACCCCAAATTCTTGAAAGCCAAACTCCTGTCATGTCTATGTGTTACAAGGGGGGGGGGGGGGGGGGAAACGAGGGGG